TTTACACTCCCACTCTGGAGGTTCAGCAGCTGTGACTGATAGCACTGTATCCCAGGAAAAACACTTCAACTCACCAGGACACTCCCTAAACTGATAATGTGTGAACCCAAAAGTGATTTTCTTGCCAAAGAGAGGAAGTGAAGACCCCATCTCAGCAGAAATGTGATCCTGCCCCACTCCAAAACAGAAAATATCCAGGGATTGTTCCCATACAGAAGTGGCAGAACACTGAAAAACTGGGCATTGACTCCCCAAGGCATTTCAGAAGGCCACCTGGCAAACTGAAGATGTTGGGAGGTTACTCCCATGCCAAGGGTGCCAGACAGAAAGACTCTTGCTGTCCCTTTCGTTCCCTGGGCACCCAATTCTCTGTGGGACTTCATCCTTTACTTCCCAAGGAAAGACACTCTGATTCACTTCCTGAACCCCACCCTAGAAATCTGGAGACAATCCTCAAAAATTGTACACACCTTGGATTTTCTACACCAGAACAGAAAGCTGGGGCTGATCTTTATGTCCCCTGGTAGCCTGTCCTCTGCACCTGAAACACTGGGCCTAGCTGTTTTCCTTCCTTTCCACACCTCCCTGGTATTACCCTATATATCACCTTTACTTAACTGTCCTTTTCTTGCCTGGCTTTTCCTTGCTCTACCTACCCTTCTTTGACTTCCATTGCCCTGCCTGCCCCTTCCTGGCCTTGCCTGGCCTATTTTCCAGGTGTTACTAAGCAGGGAAAGTGTGGGGGGTGACATTGCCCCTTGCTCTTGGCTTGGCCAGAATATTAATGTCCAAAAAGGTCATGAGAATGGCTATGGGGTCAGGATATAGGGTTTAGAGGAGCAGAGAGAGGTTTTCTGGGGCTGGAAATAGGTGTGTGTGTGAGGGGCTAGGCTCTGTTTTAAGGGAACAGAGATGGATTTCAGCAGGGCTGGGGATGATTTATGTTGAGCTGGAGATGAAATTTGGGGGGCGGGGATGGATATTTTGGGGCTCGGATGGGTTTTGGGAGACTGAGGAGATGTTTTGGGGGGCTTGGATGGGTTTGGGGGGACAAGGGGCTGGGTTTGGAGGACTGGAAAATGGTTTGGTGGGGGCTAAGTCATGGGGGACTTGGATGGGTTTCAGAGGACCAGGGTTTAGGAGGCTGGAAATGGGTTTTCAGGGGGCTGGGATGGGTTGGGGGGAGCTGAATCCATTTGGGGGGGACCAGGGATGTGGCTTGGGTTTGTGGGTGGATTTTGGGAGAGCAGGGCTGGCTTCGGGGCGTCCAGCGCTGGGTCTCAGGAGGCTCCTCCACCCAGGCTGCTTCTGCTGTGACATCACCCACAGAAGGTGCTGTCACGGCGGTGCTGGAACCCACAGTGCTGAGAGGCCGGGCTGGGACAGGTGTCCCCAGTCCCCGCTGGGCACTGAGCAGTAGGATCCTGAGCCCCTGGCGAGGAGCCGACCCACCATGGTGACACTGGTGGTAGGTGCCGAGTGCTACGACCTGGTGGCCGCGGTCGGGAAGGGGACCTTTGGGCAGGTGACCCAGGGCCAGCGCAGGAGCACCGGGGAGATGGTGGCCGTCAAGATCCTGAGGAACCACGATTACAACGGCCAGATGGTGAGGAACGAGCTGAGGCTGCTGCAGGCCCTGCGGGAGGGGGACGCGGAGGAGTCGCACATCGTCCGTTTCCTCGAGTCCTTCAGCGACACGGTCTGGACCTACCTGGTCTTCGAGCTGCTGCAGCAAAACCTCTTCGATTTCCAAAAGCAGAACAACTTCTCCCCGCTGCCCGTCCGGCACATCCGCACCATCACGGCGCAGGTGCTGGCGGCACTGGTCAAGCTGAAGGAGCTCTCCATCATCCACGCCGACCTCAAGCCGGAGAACATCATGCTGGTGGACCACTCGCGCTACCCGTTCCGCGTCAAGCTCATCGACTTCGGCTCGGCCATCCTCCTCCCCGAGGTGTGCCGCGTCCAGAAGCCCTACATCCAAACCCGCTTCTACCGGGCGCCCGAGATCTTGCTGGGGTTGCCCTTCTGCGAGAAGGTGGACGTCTGGTCTCTGGGCTGCGTGATGGCCGAGCTTCACCTGGGTTGGCCGCTCTACCCCGGCAACAACGAGTACGACCAGGTGCGCTACATCTGCTCCACCTTGGGACTGCCCCGGGGCGAGCTGCTCTGCGCTGCCCAGAAGACACAGTCCTTCTTCCGACGGGTCCCGTGCTCTGTCGGTACCTGGCAGCTCAAACCACCGGGGAAGGTGATGGCGAAGCCAATGGAGAGGAGGGTGCACGTCTTTTCCTCGCTGGATCAGTTAGCGGCGGTGAACCTCTGCCTGGTGTCTGACCCCGACCAGGAGGAGCTGGCCAAGCGCTGTGACCTGTACGGGATGGTGGAGCTGGTCAAGAGGATGCTCACCTGGGACTCGCGCGAGCGGATCTCGCCCAGCGCCGCCCTCCATCATCCCTTCATCTCCATGCAGGAGGTGAAGTCCCGCTTCGAGGCCACGCAGTACTACCAGCTCAGCCAGGAGGACCTGAGGCTATCCCGTATGGATTCTAGCAGAGCCGAGATCTCCCCTGGCACGGAGAGAGGTGCCTTCATCCCCACCGGCCAGGGTGCCCAGACGGGTGGGCTCAGCCTGGCCGAGCTGGCTGGGGACACCAGCAGCAAGAACCAGCAGAACGTCTGCCAAGCCCCCAGCCCCACGCACTACGGCAGCCAGTGCCACCAGCATCTCTGGTGTCCCAAGCCTGAGCCCACCAGCGGTCACTTGACTGTGCTGGGGCCTCCCACCAGCGTGGAGCAGCACGGCCACTGCAACGGCCCGGTCGTCGGTGGCATCGCGGAGCAGAACCTGCGTGAAAGACGGTACAGCTCATCCCGTGCCAAGGTACAGGCACAGGGAGGGGGCTCCTGGGCACAGGCACTCTGGGACAATGGGTGCTTGGGATCCCTCAGGTGTTTGGGGTGCCTGGTGCCCCACGTCCCCTGGTGCCGCGTGTCGTGGGTGTTCAGGGTCCCTGGTGCCCACGGTCCCCACAGAGGAGGAGGAGGTGACACTCATCCCCTGCCCATGCTTTGCCCCCCCTGCAGAGAGCTCTGGTGACGCGGCGCGACCCCTGGAAGCCTTCAGGGATGTGGAGACCAGACTCTGGGATGATGACACAGTGCCCAGCACACTTCTCCTGCCACAGAGCTGGTGACATCCCCAGCACCACTGAGCCCCCGTGGCAAGCCTGGCACGCACCCTGGCAGCCCAGAGCTTGCAGGAGACCTTCCTCGTCCTCATCCCCAGGCACCCCGGACACCAAAACCCAGCGCCTTGCTGGTGGAGACCACGGCCAGGGCTGCACTAAGACACACTGTGCTAGATGCTCCCGGCTCTGTTTTTCCCATTGATCCCCCAATAAATGGTTTTGCCAAAACCTGAGCATTTCAGCTGATTCTTTGGCCGGGGAGGTTTGGCAGAGCCCAGAAATGACCCCAGGACTCGAGGCACCTCAGCAGTGCCCAGCACAGGGGAGGGGGCGGTCACTGTCCTGGTCCCACTGGCCACACTGCGGCTGGTACAAGCCAGGTGCCACTGGCCTCTTTGCTCATCTGGGCACACCTGGGCTCACGTTCAGCCGGCGTGTGCCCAAGTGGGCGGGCAGAGGAGCGGGCAGGGCTCCCCGGCCGGACCAGCACCGGGGGCTGCGGACAGAGCGCGGTCCTGGATGGGGACCGGACACCCTGGACACCCAGAACATCCTGGAAATCCCGAACATCCAGGATACCCTGAACATCCAGGACACCCCGGACACTCTGGACACCCTGGACATCCCGAACATCCCGAACATCCCGGATAGCCCGGGAATCCCGGCCCCGGCCCCTCCCGCTCCCCGCCCACCCCGTCCCGCCCCCCAGCCTGTCGGTTCCGCTTCCACCGCCTCTTCCCCTTCCTGCGAAGGCGGCCGCGATGTCGGCGCTGGCGGCGAACCCCAACAACCCGGTGGTTTTCTTCGATGTCACCATCGGCGGGCAGGTGGGGGGAGCGGCTGGGGCGGCCGGGGGTGTCGGGAGGAAGGTGGGTACGGGGGGAAGGGGGGGGGGGGCGAGGGCTCACCTGGCCCCTTGTGTCCCCCCAGGAGGTCGGCCGCATGAAGATCGAGCTGTTCGCCGATGTTGTTCCCAAGACGGCGGAGAACTTCAGGTAAGGCTTTTTGGTGCAGGAATGGGTTTTTTTTGGGTGGCAGAGTGATTCCCTGCCCTCCCTCCCCGAATTGCTGCGCCTGCTTTGCGTGTCTCTCTTCACCAGAGATGCTGTTCGGGGTCCTGGTCCCCCAGGGAAGCCCATCTGGCTGCGAGGGGAAGGACTGCAGTCCCCCTCTGCTTCCTCTGTGGAGCCCCCGATGTGCCCGGTGCATGTCGAACAGTGCCCTCAGAGTTCACATGTGCCTCACACCCTGCTCTCTTTTTTTTGTTTTCCAGGCAGTTTTGTACAGGTGAATTCAGGTAAGTGGGTTACAGCGTCCTTTTTGGTGGCCCGCTGGAGAAGCAGAGCTGGATGAGGTGGAAGAGGGGCTCGCCTGGAAGTTTTGCGTGTTGTACCGCTACAGAATGAAAGAGTTACAGAAACCTGCTCTGAGGAGGTTGTGGGTGGGGTGGGGGCTCTGTGAGTCACGGAGGTGGCAGGTTTTCCCTTTTGCATGTGACTCTTCATGCCCAGGAGGCTCTAAAAAGCCCTGCCTGCAAACCCCACCTGCTCATGCTGCACATTGCAGTGGGATCCCGCGAGGATGGTGGTGTGGGTGCTGCAGGGTGCCGAGTCATTTCATGTGCAGAGCCCATTTGAGGCCTCCTTTTGCCTCCAGCAGCAGCAGCTGAGAGGCTGCAGCTCTCATGATTGTATTTCAAGGCAGCTGCTGATGTGCAGGGCAACCTTTGGGACTCCGAAGTCTTGTGGGGGTTTTGTGTTGGGTATCCAGTAAGTTGAAAGGATTTTCCTTTTTACTTCCTTACAGGAAAGATGGCGTCCCTATAGGTTATAAAGGAAGCACTTTCCACAGGTAATTCATCTGCTTTTTGGGCACTAAACAGCATCCTGACCCAGATGGGGTTTTGGGATCAGCCTTGAGGTATTAGTGGTGTTCGAGGCATTTGTGGGTCATGGCTAGTGTCACCCTCCTGTGGCTTTGGGGGATCTGGGGGTGCTGTCAGGTGTGTATGCTGGGGTCACTGGGAGGAATCCCCTGTTCCTGGTGTGCAGGAACAGAGATCATCAGTCTGGCATCTGTCACCTAATCACTGTCCCTGGTGGAACAGCAATGGGGTCCCAAATGACCTGATATCAACCGCTGATTTGTTGCAGATCTCAGGCTGCAGCACTCACAGACTGTTTGTTAACTTCTGTTGCACAGCCAGGCAGAACTCCTTTTTACCTTACAGTGAGCTTTCTGAGGCCTTTGTCCACTGAGAACTAAGTGCTGTTTTGCTTCTTTAGGGTAATAAAGGATTTCATGATCCAAGGAGGCGACTTCGTAAATGTATGTACTCCTGCATCCCTTTTGTCCTTTTCCTACGTTGTATAACATGCAGCTGTTTCCAAGGGTCCCTGCTGATTTATGGGATCTCTTCCTTTCTTGAGGTGTGCAGTAGTAACTGGAGGTGTCCTCACAGCATTGCTGCCACCTTACTGCAAGAGGCATTAATGTACTTGAAAACAAATCAAGTGTGTGGTGCAAGAGGTTATTTAAATCAAAACTAACTTTTTGTTACTGAATTGTCTGGAAATATTAAAGGGTTTGTGCCCTCAGTGGTGGTGGTGCTCTGGCTTGGGTATAAGCAGAGGGGAAGGCTGAAGTGCCACAGGATCTCTTCACTGTCCTGGGACCCAGTAAAATTACTTCATTTCTTGAAGTGTTTCAAAATATGAGGGGAGTCATAAAGGTTTTTTAATATAAAACTTGGCTGTATGAAAGTCACTGAGAGAACTGACCGCACAGTGGGTGTCTCAGCCACGCCAGACTCTGAGGTAGTTGCTAATTGTGACACTGCCCAGGCGTCCCAGTGGGCTTTATTACTTCCCCTGCACCCCAGCAAGCTTTACAGATCGCTCTACTGTTTGGAATTCATACAGTGTGTTTATTACAAAGCCATTTGGGGAGCGAGCACAGTCACACTGACCCCTGAGACCTGGTGTAAGCTCCTGGCTCAGAGCTGACAGTTCAAGTAAGCCACGAAGAACGGGAGGAAAAGAAGCAAGAGCTGGGCAAGCAAGATATTGTGCTGACTGGGCACTTCTCTCGTGCAGGGAGATGGCACTGGAGTAGCCAGTATATACAGGGGTCCTTTTGCAGATGAAAACTTCAAGCTGAAACACTCTGCTCCTGGCCTGCTCTCTATGGTGAGTGTGAAACAATGACGCTACAGGCTAAAAAGCTTTTAGTACTTTCTCTGTGCCTTTTTCCCAAGTGCATACACGTTATTTGCTGAACAGCAGAAATCCCCACCACTGGGTACAAGGTCTGGAAGACCTGCTTTGTAACTCCCAGTCAGAAGGCTACTCATGGGTTAATATCTTGAGTAACTCACTAATCCTGATCCTGCATCATCCTTTCTTTGTTGCCTGATGGAGCTCTGGGACAGGCTTGATCAGCTTTCAGAACAGCCTGGTTCTTACAGTTTTCTTACAGTGGTGAGTGGTGGTGTTTTGTTCTTCCCTAACACTGTTATCAAGCACTGACCTCGGCAGGGATGAAACAGAGAGATTTGGGAGTTCCAAAGCCACAGCAGTGTCACCATGGTATCTTTCATGACAGACCTTCCTGTTCAACAGGGTAAAGAAACTGCAGCCATTGTGTGTTGTCTGGTAGGAACAATACCCTGACTTTTGGAAGAGGAAGCAAATGGAGCCAGTGCTTCAGTGTTCCTGTGACCTTAAAAATGCTTAGGGCATTCATCATTTGGATTAGTTATTCACCCAGTTCGAAACATGGCCCAAGAAGTGGTGTCATGGCACAGCTAAGCAGCCAGTGTGCTGTGGTGTGGGAGAAGAAGGAATCCACTCCAGTACTGCCAGCTTTGTGTTACAGTGGCCTGGCTCTGGAGTTGTTCTGCTGGGTGAAACCATGGATGCCAGGAACCATGGATCCCAGCTGGATTCTTCTGAAGCTGGCTGGCAATAACTAGAAAGCTGAAGCGAGCCTGTCCCCTGCAGCTGCAGAACTTGCCCAGTTCACTTGTCAGCACAGGAATATGCTTTAGTAGCTCCTGGTTGACAATATTACAAATGGACTTCAGTGTTGCAAAGATGTTTTCTTAACAGACTGCAAGTGCTGTGGGTGTTGCAGAACTAAATTTCACATCTGCATCTCACTTTTCCTGGGAGCCCTGTGCCAATACAATCATTACCTTTCTCATCCTGATCAGCGGAACAGACACCTTGGTTTTATTTTTATTTTATATTTTTATTTTATTTTTATTCTGAGGAAACCTCCCAAATAGCAGAAATCACCTGCTTTTTTTTTTTTTTTCCCCCCTTTCTTTTTTCCTCAGGACAATACTGCAGCCAATAAGCACTCATGATGGAAAAGTCCAGCCTTTTTCTAGACTCTCAGCACAGTCTTGTGCTGAATGAGCCTCTGTAGAAATAAAATAAAAAGTTGCTGACATGGCTGTTGCACACACACTGCCGTGACCAGATGTGTATCTTGCTTCCTTTGGTTTGTGTAGCGAAAAGCTAAAAATAAGCTGGTCTAGAGCAACAGCTCTTTCTTGTGTGAGATGTGTCTGCCTTCGGTTTTGGCCGGTCTGAAACTGTAGATTTGTCGTGTCTTGCCATTCTCAACCCCCAGGCGAACAGTGGCCCGAGCACCAACGGCTGCCAGTTCTTCATCACGTGCTCCAAGTGTGACTGGTTGGATGGGAAGCACGTTGTGTTCGGTGAGTGCCTGCAGCGGGGTCCTGGAGTGCCAGCTCAGGGACATCCCTGGGGGGGCAGCTGTTAAAATAAACTATGGAGAGAATTGTGGAGCCTCCTCAGCTGGGAGGGACCCATGAGGATCATTGTGCCCAACTCCTGGCTCTGCACAGGACACCCCGACCATCCCACCCTGTCCCTGAGAGATTGTCCAAACCCTCCTGGAGCTCTGGCAGCCCTGGGGCCGTGACACTGCCCTGGGGAGCCTGTTCAGTGCCAACCACCCTCTGAGTATGGGCTGCTCGTTCTTCTCTTCTTGCTTGTGCAGCCTGCTGTTGTGATGAATCACAGTTGAAATGAATCACTTTTTTCTCAGGTTAGCTTTAATCCAGATCAGTTCCATGATTCTGTTGCTACACAAATCCTTTTGCCAGTGCAGGTGGCACAGATTAGTCAAGGGATCCCTTCCTATTCCACTGTCAGAGAGGACTGAGCTTTCAGCACAGTTTTTGGACAGCAATTCTGTGAAACCACATCTGCTAGCTTGCATTTACTGCTGCTTGAGGTGCAGGAATTCCAGGCCAGCCTTAAGCTGATGTCCTACTTACCGCTCCCCCCAATTCTTAAGTAACACTGATATTGCTCATTGCCAGGTTTGCATCATTACAAGGGTTGTGTTGCTAGAGAGGTGGTTTGTGCTGGATGGCAGCACAGCTGGTGGCAGTAGGTCTCAAACCCCAGGTTTCTACACAGACCACCCCTGCCATGGGAAAAAGCACCTAACCTGTGCTCGATGTGGAAAATATTTGAAGAGGGATGGTTTCCTTTATCAGTTTAGAGATCAGTAACAAACTCCAAAGTGTCCAATAGCTACACACTGCACAAGGCTTCTCAGGAAGGGCAAAAATGGGTGTAGCTGTGATGGGTAGGGGAAGCAAAGGTAAAAAAATGTCCTTATTGAAGCGGATAAATTTTCTCATTCTAGGTAAAATCGTCGATGGGCTGTTGGTCATGAGAAAAATTGAAGTAAGTTTGAACCCCCCCTGTTTCTCCCTGAATGTGCACGTTGGGAAGTGATTTACAGGATTAACAAGAGTTGTCCTGCTCTCTCCAGCTGTCTGTTTACAGGATACCAGGGAATACCAGTGTCGATAACTGGTATTATCAGTTGTCATCGTTGTAACGTAGCAGGAAATCTGGGGAAGCACAGGCTGTATGGGTTGGCTTTGGAAGTGCTGGTCTCTCGAGACTGGGATAGCCTTTGAGCGGAAATTACGTTCTTGGGGCTTTATTTGCTTTTGCATTTGCTCAGGAAGCCGAATTAAAAAGTTGTTCCATCAGCAGCGCAGACGAGAGTGTGAAGCATCTCACTTCTGTGCCACTGCCTGGGATTATTCAGTGGGTGCAAAATCATCAGTTCTGCTGATCCGTGATCAGCATGTTTAATAAGAAAAATTAAACTAATCTCCTGATGGGCTTCCAGGAGCTGGGGATAAGCTCGGTCGGGGTGGGGATTGCTGCCAACGTCGCGCGTGGTGTCACGGCAGGATAATGAGTAGATTTAACGAACAGCAGTGAGTTCTTTGAGACACTTCACTCCTTGGCACACATGTGGGGATAACGTGCATGAGAGCCTCTAATCTAAAAAGTGGGGCAAGCACAGAGCTGTTGGGTACTGGGAGGAGCTGTACAGCATGGAATAACCTGTGTGCTGCTGGCCCTTCGGGTCAGAAGCACCACTGGAGGGTTGTGGTGAGCCTGCTTTGGGCATCGCTGCAGTGAGAGCAAAGTAAAGGAAATTTGAGGCTCAGGGAGGAGCAGCCAAGTCCAGCGTATCGAGGGGTGCAGAATGAGGGTGGCTTTGTCACTGTCTCTTCCCTTTCTGTATAAACACAAGTTTGTTTTGCTTGTGGCAGCTGTTTTTAGTAACTGTGAAAGATTTAAGCCAGAGCAGCCTCAAGTGACATGATGCCTGCTGTATCTCATGAGGAGCTCTCCAGTTTTTGCTCTGTTTCTTCCCTCCCACTCAGAGGACCAGCCTCTGCTCTGTGTCCCATACAGAGAATTCACCAGCTTATGGCTGGGCCTGTTGCCAAAATACCTAACGGTGCTTCTTTGTTCCTCAGAATTCCCTGTTTCCCGTGTTCCACAAATGTCTCTTAGCCAGTCTTCCAGGACGTGTCACTGGCTGGGTTTGCTGTGCTTTGGTGAGGTTTAATGTTCTGTGTTTGCCTGTCCCCAGAACGTGCCCACGGGTCCCAATAACAAACCCAAGCTGCCAGTTGTGATCTCTCAGTGTGGGGAAATGTGAAGAGCGGTGCAAGAGCAATGTGGTAAGTGTCAGTCTTCCCAGGGACGGTGCCACGAGCCCTGGGCTGCTCTTTGCTTGTCTTTACAAACACCAGAGGCAGCACAGCAGAGAGAAGGTTTTGCAGCTGCAGCCAGAGGGGAGGGGGGGTTGTGGGAGCTGTTATTACCTTACACAGTTTTACCTGAACTTGAAAAAAATACCAGTGTCCTCATCTGAAGGGAGACATTTCCACTATTTACTATTATTCAGGCTTCTTTTTGGTTAAACCAATAGGCTCAGGCTAACATACAGAAAATTCTATTGCCATTTGTCTGCTCACTTTACTGTAAAAAACACAAGTATTTAAGCAAATCTCTCTAGATTTCAGTGTGTCGGGCTGCACCGTGTCAAAAACCTGTATTAGCCTTATCGTTGCTCATTTTTTCCAAATTTCAGCAGGCAGGCTGGCTCTGCCAAAATCAAATCCCCCCCAATTTTTGATCCTCCATTAAGTGGTTTCCAAAGACAGCTGGAATTGCCCATGAAGACACGTCCCTGCTGACGTAAATAAAGTCTTAGAGATCTGCAGCACCTCAGAATCTTGGGGGCTCCTGCTATTTGATGAAGTGACAACAGGGAATGTAATCTTTCTTCCGTTCCCCTGGTACTTCTGGTGGCATTTGCAGGCTTTTGAAGATAAGGACAGCCTTGCTAACGGGCTTTCTTGCAGATGGGCAGAGCTGTGCTGATGGGCTGGGTCCCCTTTAGGGTTGTCCCCAGGCCCAGACTTGTTGATCGTTTCGGTTTGGAGTACAGGATCTCTGGCCAACGTCCAGCTTTGAGCCTGGAAGCTTTTCATTCCCAGGGGCAAGGCTGGTGCCACCTTGTGCATTTCCCAGCCAGGTGTTAGGAACAGCCTTGCTGCACCCTGATGTCTGAGCTGCCTGGGGATGGGAATGGCTTCAGCCTTGCCTGATGTCAGACAGCCACACCAGCTACTTGCCAAGATCCCTGAAAATCACCTGGGGGAGGGACAGGTTTTAAGGGTTTTAGGTTCAGAGGCAGATGCAGTTGCCCAGCAGGCAGAGCCGGGAGGGCTCCTGAGTTCTCTGGCTGATGAAAGCTGGTGTCTGGCTCTCACTTAAAATCACCATGTGGCCCCTGGCGTCAGTGCACAGCCTTGCTGTCCCAGGATGGGTTGGGAATGCCTGTCCAGCATTTCAGACCTGTTTTCTTCTCTCTTTCAGTGTTCCTTCACCAGTGGTTAGACCTGTGCAACTCCAACTCCAGCTGGCTCCCACGCTGCCCACAGGCCAGATCCACGCTCTTGATGTTCTCCTGAAATGATTTGACAGTGGGCATCACATATTTTTATTCTGTTCTTTCGCATTTTGAAATGTAAATAAAGAATTTTTTTTTTTAAAACGTGTGTGCAGTGCACATCAGTTAACACGTGTGGGAATGAATTCTCCTCCAGGTGAGAAGGGCTGTAGCCTCTTCAGCAACATGCATTTTCCCTGGCTTGCTCAGCTGGGAACATTTGCTGTGTTATTGAGGGAGAGAAGGGGTGAAAGGAGCTGGGCAGAGCTGTGCTGCACCTGGTAACTGAGGCTGCCTGGCTGGCAGAGACGTTCATGGCATCTTGGGAATCTCCAGAACCCTTTTGTGTGCAGCTTTACTGAGGCACATGGCATTGGTACGGCACAGATTCCATTACTGTGAGTGAGAGCTGGGCTCTGAGGTGAGTTCTGATGTAAACAATGTCTGTCAGCTGTCCCCAGGACGTGGTGGCACCAGGCCATCTGGCTGTTCCACACCACGGGGTGTTAGAGCAGTTCACCAGGTGCTACAGGGGTGTTTGAGCAGAGCTGTAGGCTGGGAAACAGAGGATGGTGATGCTGTAGGAGTGAAATTGGGGCTGCTTGTCCTGTGTGGTGCAGAGGGCGCAGCTCAGGCTGTAGGTTGGTGGAAAAACTGCCTTTCTTCACCCAGAATGGGGCCAGCAACTTGCCCACCTGCAGGGCTCCAGCAGGAGCTTCTCATCCAGCTGTTTAAGGGTAAAGGAGTTAGGGGAGAATCTCTTCTGTCACATGCAGGTGCTTCACCCCATTCTGAGAGGTCCCATCCCTCCTTGGGCAGCAGGTGTGGGGTGCCCTCTGTGCCTGAGCTGGGTGAGCCCACTGGTGATGTGCCAGAGGAAGGTCCCACAGGCTTGGCTGTGCTCTTTTCTCTCGTGGCTCTTTGAAGTCCTGGCAGCAGGCTCTTTCTGGCTCTCAGGACTCCCACTGTCCTCGTTCCTGGGATGGCACAGCTGCTGAGGACACGCTTCTCCCCAGCCCGAGGCATCTCACTTCGTAGCTGCAGAACATCAAGCATTAAAAGAAGCACAAACACACCAGCCCTTTCCTCCCCAGCCCCACAGATGCTTTGCAGAGAGAGCTCTCTCCTGTGAGAGGAGGGTTGGAGGTTCCCAACAGGCTGGCTCAGGTGCCTCAGGGAGCTCTGCCTGTCAGTGCAGTGCTGAAGTTTGCACTTCTGGTTGCTGGTGCCCAAATTCACCACTTTTTCACCAGGGAAACCAGTTTATTTCTGGGTCCAGGCTCAGCAGCAGCACTTTTTCAGCCTGATGTATTTATATCACTGACATCAACTGGTCTCACTCCCTGCATACAGGGGTCACAAGCTTCCCCAGATTAATTAACAGCAGCAAATCCATTACTGCCTCTTTGAATGTTGGTCCAATGGCTAATTATATCCCATTACATTTCTCTTCAACATGGAATGTGCAGGGTTTCGGCTTTCCCCCTTGTGTGTCTTGTTCCTTACCTGCTGGCTGAAAGTTTTCTCGGAAACCACATTTTTGGGTTGAATTCCCCCACGATGATGTCATGTGTAGCAAGGCCTGGAATCTCCTGCTGTAGAGCAGATGATGGAACTCCTCTCAGCTCCAGCATCTGCCTCCAGCTGCGGGTGCTGCAGTGGGAGGTGGTGTCTCTGATGGCCTCCGTGTTCCTCTGAGGGTCAGAGTAGCTTCAGGCCCCCCCAAAGACATTGTTGGGGCCCGCAGTTTCAGCTGTAGGGGCATGGCCCTGATGTTCCCACAGGCTTCCTCGCAGAGCTGGGAGTTTCCTCCACCATTTTCTCTTTCTTGGATCTCTGCACGGTGCATTCCCTAATTCCCATTCTACCATAAGATTATTTTCCAGATGACTCACTAAGCACCATCCGGTTTTGACATCATTCCAGCTTCTTTATCCAGGTCATCATCGTGGTGCAGATCCTTGTGGGACTGTGTTACTGTTTTCAAGCTCTTCCCTTCGCCAGCCGAGCTGGAGATCGAGTGGAAAGATGCCCAAGGGAGCTGGATGGGACCAGTGTTCATAAACCCCCCATGGGTTGTTGTGGTTCCTTGGCTCCATTGGAGTCCCTCACCTGGCCATGGAATGTGGGGAACTGGAACAGAGAAACTGGACAGTGATTTGTGTGTATGATGCTGGAAATGCTGATCCTGAGGAGATCCACGTTGGTTGCAAAAACAGTGGAGTGATGGGTCATCTCCCAGAGACCTGGTGACCTCTCCCTCCTCTTATGTGGGAGAGATGACCTAGACAAGGGCAGGGCTGCGATTCTGTGGCCAACAACCACATTTTTCAAGCGCCCAAGGAAAGCAAGTTGTTTTCAAGGATGGTGGTTTTTCCCCTGGAGCTTCCCTCTGGGGAACCCAGCAGAGATGTTGGGTATCTCCAATCTGCTGTAAGGTGAAGGTACAGGGGAAAAGAGATAAAGGGGAGTTGAGAAGTGGTGGTTGGAGAAGGGCTCCAGCAGGGTGAAGGACCCAGCAGTGATGCTTTCCCGATAGCCTGGGCGGGCAAAAGGGCTTGGGGTGAGGAGCTGCCCCCGCTCCTCTGGGAAAGGAGGGATGGATTGCTTAAGGGAAAGCCAATTTCCCAGGGGTCTGCTTGGTGCTGCAGCTGTATCAGGAATAGTGTGGCCAGCAGGACCAGGGAAGTGATTCTTCCCCCGTACTGGGCACTGTTGAGGCCTCACCCCGAGAGCTGTGTCCAGTTCTGGGCCCCTCAGTTCGGGAAGGACATGGAGGGCCTGGAACAGGTCCAGAGAAGGGCAACGAGGCTGGGGAAGGGACTGGAACACAGGTCATGTAAGGAGCAGCTGAGGGAGCTGGGGGACCTCAGCCTGGAGAAGAGGAGGCTCAGGGGAGACCTCATCGCTCTCTACAGCTCCCTGACAGGAGGGGGTAGCCAGGTGGGGGTCGGGCTCTTCTCCCAGACAACCAGCAGCAGGACAAGAGGGCACGGCCTTAAGCTGTGCCAGGGGAGGTTTAGGTTGGACATTAAGAAGAAATTCTTTACAGAGAGAGTGCTCAGACACTGGAATGGGCTGCCCAGGGAGGTGGTGGAGTCACCATCCCTGGAGGCGTTTAAGGAGAGACTGGATGTGGCACTTAGGCGGTGTCGGGTCAAAGGTCGGACTTGATGATCTCAGAGGTATTTTCCAACCTAGTTGATTCTATTACTTGTACAGGGCTCATTTCCCACCAGTAATTAACACTTTCCAGGCCCTTTCTGCCCATCACGAACAGGAGCCCGGGGAGCGCTGCCTGCACAATTGCTCTGCCCTGCTGAAGTGCTGAGGCCTGAACAACAGGCCCTGATGAACCTTCCAACCTAATGTTACATTTAGCCAAAATTCTGCATAATCCTTAGTAAAATACGTCAAGACTGCACCTGTGTAAACATTTATGCTTGTTAGTAAGATATATTGGTATTCATTTATTAGTGAAGATTTGTATCTGCTCATTAAGGAGAGTCAGATATTCTCCGCACAGTTAGTGATGGCATCATGTTTGTTTAACAATATAAAAGCTGGACTCTCTCAGAGCAAAGCTGTAGACCTCACCTGTGGGTGAGGATTTCCCAGTTCCTGAGAGTAGATCTCCCTTTCCCTGTGATCAGACCCGTGGGTCTGGATGATGGTAATGTATCAAAGAGATAAGAACTGGTGATGTATCTTTCTTAATCCCTATAGACACCCTATCTAATAATGATCAGGCGCACTGCTAAACTTATCCTTTTATAATTCTCCGCTTCTTCCGCAGTTCTTTGCTGTTTTGCACTATGGTAAATTTACACACTTATTCTTTAAAGTTGGTGCCTGTGTTTCTTCTGAGCTGACTGACCCTTGTCCCCTGGTAGAACACCCGGGGATTCCTTACAAGAGAAGGGAGGCCGCTCAGGGTGGGGCACGAGGGGTCCTGAGGGGTTGTGAGCGGCTCAGGAGGGACCGCGGGGCTCCGGGGAGGCCCCTGAGGGCTCGGGAGGAGCCGGGAAGGGCCATGAGGGGTTGGAGGGGTTGTGAGGGGCTGGAGGGGTTGTGAGGGGCTGGAGGTCTTAGGAAGGACCGTGGGGTCCCGGGAGGGCTCGGGAGGAGTCGTGAGGGGCCGGTAGGGCCGCGAGGGGCCGCGCGGCTCCGTGAGGGGCCGTGAAGGTTCGTGATCACCCGTGGGGACCCACGGCCACCGCCGCCACATGGCCGCGCGCACTTCCCCGCTCGCGCCCGCCGGGGGCGGGCCCGCCGGCCGCGGCGGCCAATCAACGCCCCGGGGGCGGGGACTCGCGGGCCGGCCGGTGAGGAGCGCGAGCCTGGCGGCCGCGGGGCGCACCCGGCCAATGGGCGCGCGCTCCCGCCGGGACGGGCAGGGGCGGCCGCCAATAGGGTTGGGGTGAGGGGGCGGGCGGCGGGGCTGGGAGGGCCAATGGGGTGGCTCACCGCTTAACGGACAGGACGGTTGGCGAATCGCGCGGCGCGCGGGCGGGGCGCGCGGGGTGGCTAGCCGGTGCGCGCCGCCATTGTGGCCAGTTCGATCGGTATCGGGAGCGGAGAGCGGAGCTCAGCGAGCCCGGAGCAGGGAGCAGCCCCCCCCCGCCCCCCCCAACGGCCGGCCTCAGTCACCATCACAACCGCGGGAGGGCGGCGCGCGAAACAGCAGTCACCACCACCGTCCGCACCGAACAAGCCGCCGCCATGAGCAGCGAGGCCGAGACCCAGCCGCCCGCCGCCGCCCCCGTCCCCGCGGCGGCCCCCGCCGCCGCGCCCGCCGACTCCAAGCCAAACGGCGGCACCGGGAACGGGGGGAGCGGCCTGGCCTCGGCGGCGCCTCCCGCCGGCGGGGACAAGAAGGTCATCGGTGAGGGCGGGCGGGGGTCCCCCGGGGGAGGAGGGAGAGGGGAAGGCGGGTGGGAAGCCCCCGATTTCGCTCCCCCTTTCCCCGCTCCCCCCCCCCCCCCCTCCACTGCACGGCTGAGGGGGGGCGCGCGCTCCTCCTCGCTGAGGGGGCGGCGCGCGCCCCCGCTCGAGCGGGAGCGCGCGCA